TATAAAATTGGTTAATAGTTTATTTCTTTTGAGACTTAAATATGTTATCTTATTGCCTTCCAGCTTCCAGGTTCTGAAGAGAAATCAACTTTGCATCTTATTGAGGATCCCTTGTATTTGACAGATTGTTTCTCTCCTTCTGCTTCAAGATTTTCATTTTGTCTTTGGCTATCCACATCTTGTTTATGTCTCATATGGGTCTTTTTGAGTTTTTCCAAATCAAAGTTTGTTGAGCATTGTGGATGTGTTATTCATGTCTTCTGTCAATTTTGAGAAATTTCAGCCATTATTTATTCAAATTTCTTTCTGCTTCTTTATCTTTCTCTCTCTTTTACTTTTGGGACTCCCATAATGTGTATATTGGTCCATTTGATGGTGTCTCTTAGGTTTTGTTTACTTACTTCATCCTTTATAAATTTCTGCTCCTCAGACTTAATAATTTCAACAATTTCAACTGTCATGTTTCAGGTTTCATCATTTGTTCTTCTACTTGTTCAGATCTGCTGTTGAACTCTTCTAGTGAATTTTTAATTTCAGTTATTTTACTTTTCAATTCTAGTATTTCTGTTTGGTTACTTTTTACAATTTTTCTTTTTTGATATTACCATATTTTTCATACATTTATTTTCTTATATTCTTTAGTTCTTTGTCTATGTTTTACTTTGAACATATTTAAGACAGTACTTTTTTGTCTTTGTCTAGTAGGTCTGATGTCTGGACTTCCTCAGGAACAGTTTGTCAATTTTATTTGTTACTGTAAGTGGGCCATACATTCCTGTTTCTTTTTATGCCTTGTGTTTTTGTTGTTGTTGTTTTTGAAAACTGTTTTAATTATAATGTGGTAACTGAAAATCAGATTCTCCCCCTTCCCCATATTTAGCTGTTTTCTGTTGTTGTTACTTTATTTGATGATGGCTATAGTAGTCCATTTGTTTAGTTGTTTTAACCAAATTATTTGTGCAAAGACTGTATTCTTTGTCATATGTGATCACTGAAGTCTGTGTGGCTCTTTTTCAGCTAATATTTTGACAGGAATTTCCTTGAGTGCCAGCAGTTAAAAGTAAATAACAATAGTAGCAACCAAAAAACCCACATACCTCTCCCAATCTTTGAACATTGGCTCTGTGCTGAAGCACTCCTTCAACACTTAGCCAAACTGGCACTTAGCCCATGTATCAGTCCGGTGTGCAAGCTTTGGGTCTTCTCCATATTTTTCTAGTCATGTGTCTTTCCCTGGACATACATGGGCCTTTCTAAACTGGCCCCATATATATTGGTGCTTTTGAATGTCCTAATTTCCCAAAGAATCTTCTCCAGCTTTTGCTCCAGACTTAAGCAGTCTATTATATGTCTCCACCCATAATTTTTTGTCCCAGGCATCTCTGGTTTATTAGTTTGCTTTGCAAAACATTTTAACAAATGCCCACCCATTTTCCAGCCTGCATTTTGAATTGAGTGAAACAGAGATGAGCACCTTGTATCTGTCCTTCAGATAACAGGTTAAAATAGACATACACAATAATTTTTGAATAAGTTTTGCTTAGCTCACTCTGGACCTAGGGGTGAGGGTTTCACACTAGGAACTCAGGCTGCTGCTACTTTAAGACTGCCTTCACTTTAGGACTGTTACTGGGGAGAGGGGTGCAGTAAGGGCAAGTAAAAATGGCACAAATCTTTCCTATCATTTTCAAGATGCCTTTTTCTTGGTTCAGCATTTGCTTCATTGTTGTAAATGTTTGACTATTTCCCAGAGTTCTGACAACATTGATTCCGACAGTTTCTGTTTGTGTTGCTACACTTCTGTGAGAGAATGAAAGCTCAGGGCTGCTGCCTCCTCCATATCCCTGATGTCCTCTGTCGTTTTTAATATATTGATTCCAACATCTCCCTGGGTGTCCCTGTGTGCCAGAAGATCAAAGCATAAAGAAAATTAAGGATACTTTAATTATAAAATAAGTATAAAGAAAAAAGACAGTTTTTTGTTGAGCCAGGCCTGAGAGATGCATACATCATTTAAACCATATTCCATTGGCTAGAAATTAGGCACATGTCCCTACAGACTTGTGTGGGGTTAGAAAATGTTGACAAGTGGTATTCCCAGGAAGAAAGGTGAATGAGTTTAGTGAACAACCAGCCAACTTCTCCCACAACAAACAAATAACTAATATCCATTGTTAAGTAGAGTTGTGTCTTTGACAAAGAGCTATGATATAACAGGCAGGAGCCTCGTTCCTAGGTTAGAATGCCAGAGCTGGAAGAATATTTAGAGACCATTTATTTTAATATCCTCAGGTGTTGGGGACTCTGATGCTTGGAAATGGAGAGAGGCTAGCCAAAGTTACACTGAGTCAATACCAGACCTGAGACAATATCCAGCTGGATCACTCATCTCTCCTCTATACCACCTTTATTCAAACATGTTTGAGCATTTCCGAGAGTAAGATTCAATCTTAAAAGATTGTATATTTCTAGAAATGTATCCATTTTTTCTTGGTTGTCCAATTTGTTAGCATATAATTGTTCATAGTATTCTCATGATTATTTGTATTTCTGTGATATTGTCTGTAACTTGCACAGCAAAGCACATCAACAAAACAAAAAGGCAACTTACTGAATAGAAGAATATATTTGCAAATAAAATATCCACTAAGAGGTTAATATCCAAAATATACAAATAACTCATAACAGTCAACATCAAAAACACACAAAAAACCGAATTAAAAATGGGCAGAGGACCAGAATAGACATTTTTCCAAAGAAGACATATATATGGCCAACAGACACATGAAAAGATTTTCAACATCACTAATCATCAGGGAAATGCAAATCAAAATCACAATGAGGTATCACCTCACACCTGTCAGAATGGCTATCATCAAAAAGACAAGAAATAACAAATGTTGGAGAGGATGTGGAGAAAAGGGACCCCTCATGCACTGTTTGTAGGAATATAAATTGGTACAACCATTATGGAAAACAATATAAAGGTTCCTCAAAAAATTAAAAATATTACTACCATTTGATCCAGCAATTCCACTCTTGGGTATTTATCTGAAGAAAATGTAATCACTAATTCAAAAAGTTATATGCATCCCAGTGTTAATTGAAGCATTATTTTAATAGCCAAGATGTAGAAGCAACCTAAGTGTCCATCAACAGATGAATGGGTAAAGAAGATGTGGTATATGTATGTGTATATATATATATATATATATATATATATACACACACACACACATATATATGTATGTAT